TATATATATTTAAAAAAAAATTAAAACAAAGATAAGTTAAATAATATAATCTGTCTCAATCCTTTTAAATCGAAAGGATTAAAAATAGAAGAAGGGAGGGGGCTCCATCTCTTTTCATCTCTTTTCCTCTCCATTAAAATGATATACCCAAACAAGAGTATGTACTTTTTTTCCTTTACTCTCCACTCCTTTTCCTCTAATTTCCTCCATCCAAATAAAGTGTAAGACCTGACATCAAATTCAAAGACCAAAAATGAACTAAATTTTTTAACTTTAAAAATTAAATTAATAATTTTTTTAATTTAAAAACCAACTCAAGAGATCCATATAATAATTGAGACACGAACTCTGGGGTCTAACATTTTTTGAACAATGGGCAAGATTTACGAAAGGACTGATGGAGGAAATTGCTTGCATTGGTTGTTGGCATGTATGGAACAATAGAAATGCTGCATCTTCCAAGAGTAGACATCAGATCCACTCAAAGTTCTGAAGCCGGCAAAATTGATGTTAGTGGAACATGATAGTGCAAAGCAGCCATTTAAATACATCATCAGGTTTGCTTCATAGAAGCCAACATACTGAAAAGTGAACTTCCCCATTAGCTATATATCTTTTAAATATAATTCTGAAGCCCCGGTTGATTCTCACCCTGGTGTAGCAGCAATATCTGTTTTATATACCTAATGGACTTCACGGAACTTCCTATTGATGGGGTTGCTTTAAACAAGCGGTGGCGTAAGTGTTGATGGCCCAGCGGACTGCTGTTGGTATGGAAGCATCTTTTGGGATGAGAAGTCTTTTTTGAATCTGATAACCAAATGTTAATCCAGGTGGTCAATAAGGAGACCTCAATACCTTGACAAAGTAAACCACTAGAGCAATCCATTTGGATGCTTACTACTTTCAAGACTTGCAGTTTTGTATATATAACCAGGAAGGCTAATATCATATAAGAGTGGGTTGCAAGCAACATGTAAAAATCGTTGTACAATCTATGAGGCTCACTGCTCTCGTAGTGATCTTTGTAAAATGCTTTATGTGGATGTTGATTCGCTGTGATATAATACAATTTCAGTTTCTGTTAAAACAAAACAAAACAAAACAAGAGGGCTAATTTTTTTTTTTTTTATCGACCAGTTTAGAAGGAAAATTTAAATATGACTTTTTACATAAATTTTGAAAAAATTAAACATCATATATTTTCAAAAACTTGCTTATAAATTACTCCCTTTGATCTTTCTTAGTTATCCTAGTCCCTCAACTCTTTTTTTTTTTTTTACTATCTTCTCGATATTCTGTAACCACATAGTCCCAATTAATCCAAAATTGAGTCGCGTCGACTCAATTTGGGGCAAGCTCTCTAGTGCTTATTTCTCCATTCATAAAGACTCAAATTCGAGATTTTACTTAAAGAGAACCGAACTCCTTCCACTCGGACCAATAAATCATTGATAATCCCTCAACTTCATGTAAATTAATTAACTTGACGACTTTATGTAGCAAATGAATGACAATTGAAAAAATCTTTTAATCTAAATGAAAATAACCAACAAGAGCTAAGTATAGAAAGAAAGAAAAAATTAATTATCATCTCTTTATCATATAAAATTATCTGATTAAATTTTATCTAAAAGTCAAATTTAGGATAGCTAAATCTAACTGAAGGAAGCACTTTAAAAGTCAAATTTAAATCTTCCTCTAGGATTCAACCACTTGGCCCATCCCATAAAAAGAAAGCCAAATTTAAATTTTAACAATTTTCCTTTTTGCCACAAATTTTAACTCTATTAAAATTTTAAATTTATAATCCATCAAACATCTACTTAAAAAATAGCCAGTAACTATTGATCTATGAGTTTTGTCAATAAGGCATATTTTCTCCTAAAAATAGTCTACTAACTTCCACAAGCTGCAAATTGAAGCATGAATAAATTTGTGATAAAAAAAACTACATCAAAATCAAAATCAAAATCTTATAAAATGCAGAGTTAAAATATATAACAATGGAAATCCGTTTCAATACTGAAGTTTAAGCTGTATACAAAAATGGAGATGAGAAGATTTGAGATAAATTATGGAAGGATTCGGTAGGTGGGTACCGATTAATCTTTCAATTTGTGGAGAACCTTGGAAGCCCACTTTCTGAGCCGTCGCTTCAACGTGAACCCGACCAAAATTCCGGCAGCAAAGCAGACCGCACATAGCTTCGAGCAGGTCATAATCGACACCACATTCCTGCAATTGGAGAATGGAAACTAAATGAGTAGATTCGAGAAAACCAGAGTTTCAACCATAACAAAAGCATCAGAATTTCCAGAAATTTTCACAGACCCAATAATCCTCATGAAGATAATCGCAAAATCACGTAAATTTTGCTTCAAAATTTTCATTTTTTCCGGCACAGAACTTCTCAAGTTCATACTTCCATATTCAGGTGTATAACTCTTTCTCCATTTAAAACTGAAAATTTTTGCAATCTCATAACCAGAACAAGTTCAATTCATGGAGATATAAGTACCTGGGAGGCCTGGGAACCAACATGCGAGACTGATCAGCAGAAACCAAGGAAGAGGAAAACCCTCCTCCTCCCCCTCCTCCTCCTTCTCTTCCCCCACCTCCGAGATTGAACGGAAGCTCCGGTAACGAAGATGACACAGATTTTGCGTCCTTTGAGAACGATCGGACAAATTCCTGCAATCCCTCCATTCTGAATCCAGAGAAACCCTAAACCCCTAACAAGACCCCTTTCGCAGATTTTGAGCTTTTAACTCCATATAAAGGTCGGATTCGGGTTTCACTTGTTTGGTTTTAATAATCGAGGCCCATTGTAGTTTGGGTTACCCTGTCAATGAAACAGGCCCATAAAAAACATTCATCAAATTTCAAAAATGGCCTGTGGGGAGTTTGGGGACAGTAATTGTCCACGCCAAGAGTCAATCTATCTCCATCACCTTCGCAGAACCTCAGAGTTCCAATGAAAATCCAGAACCTGGATCGCTTTATCTAAACAGAGGAGGAAAAACCCAGAACCAAAAGATTGTTTCTTTATCTTCCTCTTCATTGAAAATGGCAACTTTAACTCTCCCTAAGCACACTGTTCCTTTTCTACTTCCACCTCATACCCCCAGGACCAATTCTCCTTCTCATACTCTCTCAATTCCTTCCAAATCATCACATTCTCAGTTTTATGGCCTCAAGTTTTCTTATTCTTCATCTGAGTCCATTCCATTTTCTTCAAGTTTGAAATTTTCCATTTCTGCTAAGGTACATTGGTTTAGAGTTGGATTTGTCATGGGTTTGTGTTGCTAGTGACTTAGTGAAGATAACGTTTTTGTGTTTGTTTCTTGGATTGAATTGTAGGTGAATAAAGGTAATGTTCCCCCAGCATTCACATTGAAAGATCAGGATGGAAGGAATGTGAGCCTGAACAAGTTCAAAGGGAAGCCTGTGGTCGTGTATTTCTACCCTGCTGATGAAACCCCGGGGTGCACAAAACAGGTAACTTTTATATGCCTGTGTTGCATGTTAACATTTTTAAAGCTGCCGTTCAGGACATTGAAGACAGGGAGACGGGGTTGGTCTAGTGATAATCAATAAAAGTGATTCTGTAGTCCCTAGTGCGTATCCATCAAATTTTTATTGATATGAAGGTCGAGTAAAAAAAATAAATTGCATATGTACAACTATATTTGCAGGTCTTAAACGCCATATTGCTATGGTATATTCAGAAACCCTTTTCTTGGAATTAGATTTTAGATGCCTAATCTAAAGAAATAGACATTGGATTATAGAGAGGGACTAACAAAGTAGTTCTTTCATAGGCCTGTGCTTTCAGGGATTCTTATGAGAAATTTAAGAAAGCAGGAGCTGAAGTTGTTGGGATAAGTGGTGATGATCCATCATCACACAAGGTAATACAAGCCTTTTGTTAAAGGATAAGTTTGATTAGCTAAACATTCTAATTTTGTTAGTGCCTAAAATGTTTATACATACTTGCAAGTTATCTTACCTAATTGGTCGAATGCCATGATAAGTAGAATCTTTTTTTTTTTTTTTTTGGAAAAGCTAAGTAGAATCTTATTTGAGTAGGTAAAGGATAAGTTTGATTAACTGAACGATCTTGTAGAATCCTATGGATGCCATATGTTTTTCACAAGAAACTTATAATTTCTGAACTTAATATTATGTTCACTATATAAAACGTCAGTACTATGTATCTAAAACTGCTTACATATATTTGGAAGCTGTCATGTCTAAGACTCATGTTCAGATATCATTGCATTCAGCTTGTGTTCGTTGTCCAAATTGCTAAAACTTGCCAATAATGTTTGCATTGGTCTAGGCATTTGCAAAAAAATACAGGCTTCCCTTTACATTGCTGAGTGATGAGGGCAATAAGATCAGGAAAGAATGGGGGGTGCCTGCAGACTTTTTTGGATCTTTGCCTGGGAGACAAACTTATGTTCTTGACAAGAATGGAGTGGTTCAACTCATCTACAACAACCAGTTCCAGCCTGAGAAGCATATTGATGAGACCTTGAAACTACTTCAAAGTCTTTAAACTGCTGTAAAGATTGTCTTGTATCTTCCTCCACCACTTACACTTGTTTTCTTGGTACTAGACAGGTAATAATTCTTGTATGATTCAACTTTAAACCTCTTTCATAATTTTTCATGAATGTTCAAAAAACACCCCGTTTATAATTACTGTAGTTTTGCCCAATTTGCAGCCATCATTTCCCAAGTAGTTAATGATTTTAATTTTAGGAACTTGTCAAACCCTTTGAAACTACAAGATATGAGAGTCAAGAACGCACTTTGTTAGTATGGTTTTTCTTATATATGTTCTAAGACTCAATTGTTAACATAGTTAGACATCATGAAACTTGAAAGTGAACTAGGAACTCAACCTACTGAACCTACCAAATTGGGATTATACTAGCAGAAACCCGCTTCATGGAAACTCACAAAGAAGCTGCATGTGCTACAAGTATACAACATAAAGCTTTGATACATACAATAAATTTATTGCTGCATAGTTTTTCTAGAGATTCAGTTTTCCTCCAGGGCTAAATGTTTCCCAATTCCCATAACCAGAATGGAGAGACTTTGGGAGTCTTTGCTTGTCTGGAAAACAAGAAGAAGAATGAAGTGATTCAGGATAATTACGAAACTATTTCAAATTATTTAAATTGCTGTAGTGATTTTCTTTTCTTTGTGATTTGATTTAGACTATCAAGTTGTAGGACTATTCTGTATTCAGGATAATTCAATTTGGATCTTTGCAACTTTGTGAAATCTATCAACTCTTCTTATAAGGTTTTGAACGTACTCCACTGTTATGATTGAAAGGAACTAATTAACTTCAACATCTTACTCTAAAAAATTGCTATAATAAGAACTACATATTTCTCCAATCTATACTTTAATATCTTCCAACATCTAACTCATCAATCCACAAAAAAACTCTTTAATATTCAGTGTTGTTGTTAATATTTTCCATAAACATAATAATGAGTCTAAAATTAAAGTAATAAACATCAAATAAATATGCAACGAATCCCACATTTGTCGTGACAAGGAACTTAAACAGAGTCCAAATGAATGGATGCAGATAATTTATCTTTTTACATAATTAGTCATAGTGCAGAGGTGTTGAAAAATGGGGTTCAAATCAAAACAGATCATTAACTATTACCTAAGCGTGCTATAAATGCTATTTTTAAAAGGCTATTTTCACTTTTTCTATTTCTTATACGAAAAGAGGTTAATGGAACTGCTTGTAAGATACAAT